TTTTGTATTTTTAGTAGAGACGGGGTTTCACCATGTTGACCAGGATAGTCTCGATCTCTTGACCTCGTGATCCACCCGCCTCGGCCTCCCAAAGTGCTGGGATTACAGGCTTGAGCCACCGCGCCCAGCCTAAGTTAACTCTTGATTCCTTATAGTTGTGTGACATTTCTTAAAGGCTTTAATGTTTTTCTGTTTTTGTTTTCACGTTGTATTTCTTTTCGGCTTTGTTTTGATTAATTAGGGTAATTGGAATAATAAAAACTAATGCCAGCATTATGTTATAAAGATGGTTCTGGGAGTAAAAATCTAGTAGTGAAGACCCTGAACTCTAGGGTGAGGGGACGTATTTCAAACTACTACTTTTCTACTTTCTAGTTAAGCGATTTTGGGCAAATTTCTAATCTCTAAATTTAGGGTTCCTCATCTGTATTATGAAGGTAATCAAACCACTATCTAGTGTCATTAGGATTAAGTAAAATAATTTGTGTTAAGGTAGATAGTATGTGGTAGAAGTGAAGATTGGCTAAGTTACTGCCTGTAGAAGACTTAAAGAATGCTTGGCAAATAAGAAACTCTTAATAATTATTAATTATTTACTGTTATTTAGTAAATGTAGGTTGGTATTATAGGGCATGATTCTATCTTGAATTAGATTTTCCTTCCTTTTCTGTAGAGTGTTTTCATTAAAGCAAGTTCTGCCAGTCTTCTATTGAATTTTTATTTTCGGAATTAGAAAACAAAAGCTTGTATGTTTTTAATTGGTTGTAACATTTACATGAATAAGAAAAATTAATTTGCCTTGTCTTCCTGAAGAGAATTAAAACATTAATTTGTGTCAAACTCAGTAAGAACTCAGCTTTTGATGATGTTTAGTTTATTAACTATTTTCTTTTTCTTTTTCTACTTCTATTTCATTTTTAACCACTAGGAACATGTTTGACAAGCTGAACCGTGATGCCTTTCATATAGTTTCTTATTTTTTGTTTCAAATACTGGACCAGTCTCTCACCAAAGAAGTTTTCAAGTAAGGAAAAATAATTTCATTTTCTTAAGTTTCTTTCTAAATTAGAAAATGGACTATGTTTTAATATAAGCCAGAATTTCAGCTTGGCTTTTGACCATTGTTTTGAATGAATATTACAAAATTCAGATTTGAGTCTTACACATTTAATGCTTAATCTTTATAAATCTGGGTGATTTTTTTTCTTTGGTACATATCTTAAAATCATTGGCTATTTTATAAGTAACGTAGTTTTTATTTTATATAATTCTTTTTTTTTTTTTTTTTTTTTTTTT